GGGTGCTACATTTAAGTAAATCAATGATGAAGTCACCCACAATATAAGTTATTTTATTATCATTAATTTTGTCTAAAAGAAGAGATATGTTAAGATGACACAGTTCATGGGAAGTATTTGATAAAAATAAAATGAATAAAGTTGTATTTCTTAAATAAAGAAACCAGACTGCCAGTGAGAACAAGATGTTGGTAATATTCCCAAAACATAATGCAATTTTTAAAGCATAAATAAAATGAAAATAACTAATTGCCTTACAGATATAAACATAATTCATTATTATTAAATTTAAGGCCAATAAAAATAAAATTTGAATAGTAATAGATACTTCTTATATATACAGTAATTTCAGAGTGTTTTTCTCTGGAAATAACGTATTTCAGACTTTACTCTGAAAGGCCTTATAAGTTCCGTCTGTACATTTGTGTGGTACATATATAACTTTAACAGATGGAGAATCCATACCACCTCAACCCCACCATGATTTGGGCTGAAGTAAATACATTTGTGATTATGCCACCTCCAAATGGCCTGAAATTGCATTCTCATTTGAATACAATTTTCTTTTTATCTCCATTTAAAAAAATTTTTTTGAACAATATAGGGGGAGGGCCCACCTTGAATCCACCACTGGTATTCTCATTTCTAAATGATTTCTCACATGGTTAAAGATTTTTTGTCTGCTTTTGGAAGAATGTCACCACTATAGATACTGTACATCTACTGCTGCATATCACAAAAGAAAGAGAAGATTACTATCATTATATAAGAAGGAATACAGGGAGTTGGGAAAAATAGGGGATATAAAAGCAACATAAATATACATTAAGGGAAGAAAGAGAGTATAAGAATGAAGAAATGCGGTGAAGCAGATACGATGGGAAAATGAAGTGAAGGTAATGACAAGTTGAAGATGGAGTGGATGAGAAACATAAGGAAAAGTGGTAGAAGGTGGGACAAAGGAAAAATAAAAAAGTTGAGAAAGACAAAAAAAATGAGAAAGATTAAGAGGAAAAAGTAAAAGAAAGAGAAGATGACAATGAGAAAAAATGAGTATGGCAGGGTGATGAAATGATAAAATTGACGAGGAGAGGATGATAATTACGTTGGGAAAAAGATTAGAATGGAAGAAAATGATAACAGATTAGGAAAAGGAGAGAATGAGGAATAGACATGAAGATGGGAAGAGAAGAATACAAGAGTACTCAGTGGCAGATTCAAGGGGGCCCAGCCGGCACAATCCCTCCACCCAATTGTTCAAAATTAAAAATAAATGAGGATATAAAGAAAATTATATTCAAATTTTAAGTCTGAGAATGCAATTTATGACCGTCTAGAGGTGCCATAGTTACAAATTTTCTAACCTTAGACCCATTCATGGTGGGGCTGAGGTGGTATCGATCCCCCTCTGTGAAAGTACCTCCCCAGGCCCAGTCTATTTTGAATTTCTGGATCTGCCACTGGTACTAGAATATGGGAGTAAGACTGGAAAAAAGGAAAGGAATGAAGTGGATAGAAAAGGGGAGGGGATAGGAGTAGAATGAAGTAGATGAGAAAAGGGTTAAAATGAGGAAAGAATGGGAGAAAGGGAGGAAGATCTGAAATATGAGGCCAGAGTATTTGAAAAAGGCCTATGGTTACAGGAAAGCATAATAAAAAATATAATATCATTAATTTTTTTTATTATATGTTGCTCAGGTGATGACGTAATGAATGTATCGTGCTCGTTTGAGACAAGGAATCGTTGTGGTTATCACCAAGATCGATCAGACGATTTTGATTGGTTGGTACACAATGGTGCAGCAATAACTGACGGAATAGGACCATTAACTGATCATACTTTTGGCACTGAACTTGGTAAGATGAATTAGTTTTGTATGTTCAAACTAATTGGCACTGAACTTGGTAAGATGAATTAGTTTTGTATGTTCAAACTGATTTCCCTGCTGTATCACCAAATATTACTACAGTATATAATTTGTGAACTAGGCCTCCTCTATCTTTTTGTTTTACAGTTACTTCTGAAATATTATTACCAACACAAAATAATTTATTTGAAAATGACCAACAGCCCAATCAATTATCAATTAACCTTATCGTTATTTCTTTATTTTTCAATAATTTCTTTCTATTTTCTTCATAAAGATTATTAAAATAATGGTATTTTTACGTAAGTATATATAAGACATGTAATACATACAGTATATTTTTTGCATAGTTTACACAATAATAATTGTCTGGAGTTATAATTTTAAAATAGTTGGAAGGAATGTGGGAATTTTTGGATTTATGAAACTAGCTTACCAAACCAAATTTTAAATTGGCCTTAAATTCAGTGAATTAATAGTAGTCAATAATAGCATATTGGCTACTATTGTATATTTTCGGAAATATTTCAGCCGCTCCAAATCTCTTTCCTATTCTTCCTTCTTCCTTTATTTTTTCACAATTTTACATTTTATTCATATTTTCCATAATGTTATACGGGTCATTCTATATGAACTCAACCAAAGTTGAAAAATGTTTGCAGGTGACCGACTCCGATTTGGCTCACATTTATTTTGGAGATACCTTTACATGAATAATGAACACATGCAAATTTTTAGACTTATACTCCAAGTGGTTTCGGAGATATGGCCCAACAAAAATTGGGTGCCACGCCCCCTTTTTGGCCTCGCAAATCACAAACTTAAATTTATAGGGTTTTTGGAAGTCAATATCTTGGTAATGAGACAGAGGTAGGGGCTGAAATTTGGTACTCAGGGTATTTCTGGCCCAGGCTTTCAGAAACTGCCACTCGAAAATCAGCAAAAATGTCATTTTTTTTCAGCCAGAACCCTTTTCAGGGATCCCCAACTCCTATATTATGGCTTGGATATAGTCAATCTCTCTTTTACTCACAGACCTGTCCTCAGATAGCAGGATTCTAGCACAATTAACTATCTGTAAGTGCTCTTACCCTCACAGGGAGGACTTGAAAACTGATTTTTTGATTTCCGCCTATAAAAATATACACATTTGAGAAGGCAATAACTTGAAAATGAAAAAAGATAGATCAATTCTGACAGCAGATTCTGAAAGCCTGGGCCAGAAAATACCCTGAGTACCAAATTTCAGTCCCTATATTGACCTCCAAAAACCCTATAAATTGAAGTTCGCGATTCGCGAGGCCGAAAAGGGGGTATGGCACCCGATATTTTGGGGGGGCGTAACTCCGAAACCACTTGGAGTAAAAGTCTAGAATTTTGCATGTGTTTATTATTCATATAGAGAGGTATCTCCAAAATAAATTTGAGCCAAATCGGAGTCGGTCACCTGCGCACCTCTGGTTGAGTTCATATGGAATGACCCATACACTCACATGTTATAATCACTCGTTTAGGTCTAGGCTAGACCTCGACTATGCCTATTATATTATTTAAAATATACAATTTTAATTGATAAGATTATTTTTTACATGAACTAATAATTCATACTTAAACAATACATTAATTTTAAATGTATATAATGACATAATGAATAAATAACAATAATTAAACATGTACATAGTATCTATCACTACTACTAGTAGTACTGTACAATAACAAGAATAATATTTTACTATCTTAAAATCAATTTTATATAGCCGGAGTTAGTTTTGACCTAGGCAAATCTTTGCTAAAAAGGTACACTTTCTCCATCAATAGGCTTCTTCTATGAATGGAATGATCTGTTCGAAGCACGAACTCCTGTAGACCAAACCCAGTACCGTTACGATTTTTTCGTACGGGAAATCCACTCACAATCTAAATTATGTATCAAACTGAAGGCAAGGGTTACGTTTATAAAATTCATATAATGGAGGTCTTAGTTATAAACAAAGTGTAAGTTTGCAAAAATAGAAAAAATAGTATTTTCACTTATTTTTGGTAAAAAATCACATATAAAACGATATCTCGATAACTACTTGTCATAGAAAACTAAATTATGTATCATACTGAAGGCAAAGGTCATGTTTATATTCAATATGGTGATCTTAATCATTTTCACATACCGTAGATAGAACATTTAGTTTATATTTTATACGATAGATCTCTATTTTTAATAATTTATACAATACATTTCTATTTTTAATAAAAAAAAAAAAAAAAAAAACCAAAAAGAACTATTTGTATGCAGAGTTATTCATACTGACCTATTCAATTTTGGAAATACTTGACCTTGTTTTTTTTTATAGTCTTTTGTGATACCTTTGCAAAGTAATATAATTATGTAGGTCAGAAATGTAATAAATCAAATGAAATCAAACTTATTTTGGAAACTTTTAATACCTTTGATCACTTTATAGGCTATAATGTTGCTTCCTCTATTTTTTTTTCCTGTTTTCAGTGTAGATTTCAAATTCTAAACATCGCTATAAGAAATTACGTAGACATGATGACGTATATTGCACATGTGCAAATCATCATATGGTATTTTGAAATACTGTGAAATTTGAAGTGTGGCGCACCATAGTATGTGAGATGACGTTTACTTTATTTTTATTTATTTATTTATTTATTCTTTATACTGGGTTACCTCTTCAGTAAAAAGTTACTGTTCTCCCAGAGGGCCCAGTACACATAAAACATTAAAATCGCAAGAGAAACAACACAGAACATGAAAAAAAAAAAAAAACTAACACGAATGAAGTAAAAAATTACCTACCCCCCCGCATTCCAAATTCGAGAACCCCTAAAAGTAAAACTTCTTCTACCAGATTCAGTTCTGACTTTAGGCAAAATTAAATTTCCTGCAGAACTGGATCTGGTAGAATAGTTATAAACACTGTCAACTGAGGTGAGAGTGTTTTGGAGAGAAAAATTATTGTAGTTTTATAAATTATCCTAACCCTTATTGCATTATTTTTCTGTTTTAAGGATACTACATGTATATTTATACGACTCGATACGGAAGCATAGAGGGTCACAAAGCTAGGCTTATATCCCCAGTATGGACAGTCACCGACCTTGAGCAGTGTGTTGAGTTTTGGTATCATATGTATGGATCTGGTACAGGAGCATAGAGTTTATTCATTCGGCCCGTTGATGGTGCTTTGCCGGCCACTCCTGCAGTAAAGATTATTGGGCATCACGGTAATACTTGGCTCCGTGCTTCGTACGCCATGCCCAAGACTGGAAATTTTGAGGTACAGTTGGCCTATGTGAAAATGTAGTGATGATGATTTAATAAACAAAATTTGCAGTGGTCACGCGACATTTAGTTGTTACATATTCATACTAATTGCTCCGTACGTTCACCAACTAAACGTCAATAAACATGCTGATTATTTTGTATGTTCACCAGAAACTTCAATAACATGCTGATTGCCCTGTATGTTCAGTGGTAAACATACAAAGCGATTAGCATGTTCCGTTTAGTAGTGAACGTACAAAGCGATTGGTGTAAAAGATCAGAAAAGGAATGTTAAGGCTTGAAATCAACATCCCAGTGAAAATGCAAGAAATAATGGTGAAAGGGTAGTAATGGTTATTCAAAAACAATGTGTCCCACTCGCATATTACGCTGATATAAAACTCTCGCTGTATCCAATCTAGATTGGAGTCTAGGCTTAATTTTAAACTCATATACTTGGAGCCAACATCTTTTAAACTAAGTTTTACATTTAAACCTGAGACAACTATTCAAGGAGATTGGAAACAACCCGAGATTTCCTTTGTTCTTCCATCCCGGAGATTCATTGTGTGTTGCATGCTTTTGATATGCAAATCCAGTCAACCAAACACGACTCTTGCAGCCAAGTGAACGCTTACTGCGCATGCTCAGTTCGTAATCACTGAGCCATGTAAATGAAAACAAGTACCGAATAGGCTTGCCTGACATCGTAGCCGAACTTGTTTGCGGCCTAAACGGCCCTACGCCCCTGGCCGATAATGGCTAGTCCACGCTGTAGGCCTAAACTAAGGCATAATTTAAGACAGTATTTCATATTTATAATCATGTAATCCATAAAGATGTTTAATGTAGGTACAAACAGGTTTAGCTAATCTCAGTATATTACCCGTCAATGACTAATGGTTCATGAATATTAGAGAAAAGTGTATTTTAATAGCTGATGTTTCCAACATTCAATTGCTCAAAAAGCAGTAATTAATACAAAAATATGTCAATTGGACTGTATGTACTTATTCTCTGATTCTGATTTACTAGTAACACAGATACCTTTTCTTTTGTGGTAAATGATTTCAGAACATATGTGCTTATAAATGTGTTTAAACTTAGTTTGTTTCTTCAATTCAGGCATTTTACTGAGTGTCGGAACCCGGTTAGGCCTAGGGCCTAGCCCTGGGCGGCCGAGGGTAGGGATTGCCAAGTTACTAGCCTATAGCCTTATGTATGCATGCCATAAATTTCAAACATTTAAATTGTAGTATATGCGTTTATTTATCATACCTTTCATAGAAATTGCCAAAGTAAAAGTTTAAACGTTAACAAAACAATTTAATGCATAATTCCGTACTTTTTTTAGCTTTAGCTTTCATAAAGAAGTGGACAGCGTAACGAAATTCTTCACCCTCAGCAGTATCGGAGTGGGCCGGGTTTTACTTCTAAGTCATCATTATTTCAAAGAGAAAAGGCTCTTGTTCTGTTTTAGTACATTCTCGGTGTGGTCCATTGTTTCGGGAGTGTGGGGTTAAGATGTTGCCATTTACAAGGCTGAAAGCTACTCGAGATATCAGCTAAAATAGTTAGTTAGTTTAGGTACCGTCTCCTGCCAGAAGGCTGGTTGTAATGTTTCTCCATTCTTGTCTGTCTTTAGACATTCTGCTACAAGTTTGTTATGCCATGCTGGTCCATTATTGTAAATGCAGCAAGAGAGCTGAGCCGATGGCAACCACAGTGTGTGCACTAGACCTGATCGTGGAGGATTCTTTCAGACGTGTGGTCCCTGTTTCAATTCTAATTGCTGCCCCCTGTCTTCCAGCTTAACTTAATAGTGCAATGAGAATGAAATTCCTTATCATATCTATAACTAATTTTTCATTTGCTCCATTTTGTTCTTTACTTCTTAATTATAATGTCTGGAAATATTTCTTGGTATTTAATTTCTTGTTCTGCTTCATATTTTTACTTTTGTTTCTTCTTTAATTATTCCAATTTTCTTTACCACTACTCAGTTTATAATTTTTTTTATTATGTGTGATCTAGGTTGTTTTGTCATTATCATCAAAGTGTCAATCAATGGAATGTAGGAAATAACATTATCTTTATTTTGATCTGTCATTAGCTTGTTTTTGAGGCATCTCGTGGATCAGGAAATTTGGGGGATATTGCCATTGATGACGTACGTGTCTATGATGCTCCGTGTGCAAGTAGTAAGTTTAGTGCACAAATTATTTTCCTTCTACATTTAATATCTATGTTACCACCATACATTTAGATAACATCTATTTGAAGTAACTAATGTTAATGTCCACAGATACGATACAACCGACTGCTGATCCTACCGAATATCAAAAAGCAGATTGCAACTTTGAACAAGGTATTTGCAACTATGTCCAAGAATTAGAGAGTGATTTCTACTGGAGACGTATGAAGGGCCCAACGCCAAGTTGGAATACCGGTCCTGATTTCGATCACACATACGGCAACGAGTTTGGTTAGTAAGCGGTGATTCACGTAACAATCAATACCATCATCATATCACATTTACAAATGTTGATGTTAGGAAAAGGTTCGACTACAACTTCAGTGAGATTTGCAAGTGTAGCCTATTTCTGTTAAAAATGAAGAAATTGAAAAACATAATGAAAATTTTTATTTATATACCTGTAAGTAAGCTTTTTAAAATGTCACCAAACATAAACTTTACACAAGTATGGCATATAACTTGGTGAGCCTATATGGTTATTTGCTTCATCACTTGTGATATTTTTTTATCTGTTTAAACATTTTCTCCATGGGCCAACTTATACACAAAAATGATATGTTTCACTTTTAAAAAAACTGGCACACTTGAAAAAAAACGTCCTTAATTCAAAACTTAAAGATAAATTATTACAAGACTCTCTAACTGTGAAAATAAATAAGTGCTAAATGATGTTGGTATAATATTAACCCACTCATCATTGAAATGTACGATTCATGTGATCAGTACAGAAGCACATATTTTTTTTTTTTTTTTTGGTTTGGCTTCCTTAAGGTTACTACATGTACATAGAGGTGTCGCGTCCAAGACAATCTGGTGAGAAGGCAAGGCTTATGACGCCGGTCCTGAACAATAAAAACACAGATATTTGCATTTCATTCTACTACCATATGTATGGGAGAGATATTGACTTTTTGAAAGTTTTTAAGAAGGATTTTGGCGGTGGTCTGCCAGTGGATCCGATTTCAGTGCTTAGTGGTGACAAAGGAAATGAATGGCACTATCAGAAAGTTGATATAAATGGACAGACAGAAAACTTCCAGGTGACAACTTGTGTGATGGTGTCCGTGTGCTAAGGCTAAGCTGTGCTGATGTAAGCAGTGATGGTGTTAGTGGAACAGTGCTGTATCTGCCGCTCTGCGTGCTAGCTCCCGATGTGGTCCGGTGCTGGTATTAGTGGTTCTCGTCCTAACAGTGCTGTATCTGTGCTGATGTAAGCGGTGCTGGTGTTAGTGGTTCTCGTCCTAACAGTGCTGTATCTGTGCTGATGTAAGCGGTGCTGGTGTTAGTGGTTCTCGTCTTAACAGTGCTGTATCTGTGCTGATGTAAGCGGTGCTGGTGTTAGTGGTTCTCATCTCAACAGTGTTGTATCTGTGCTAATGTAAGCGGTGCTGGTATTAGTGGTTCTCGTCTTAACAGTGCTGTATCTGTGCTGATGTAAGCGGTGCTGGTGTTAGTGGTTCTCGTCTTAACAGTGTTGTATCTGTGCTGATGTAAGCGGTGCTGGTGTTAGTGGTTCTCATCTTAACAGTGCTGTATCTGCTGCTCTGCGTGCTAGTCCCCGGTGTGGTCCAGGGGACCCCCCTACTTGGTATTCTTGGCAAGGTTTCCGGATGCTTTGGCAATGTAGTGATTTAAGGGTCTTATAACGTAACATTCATATATTACGGGTCAACAGTTTTATCTCTTGTTATTTTATTTATCTACCTATTTTAATCAAAAATATGCATACTTTCTTCCGCCATCGGATATAAAAAATTATTAATAATTCATTTAGACATGTTATCATAGCATTTGCAGGTAATGTTTCCCCTCAGAGAATGTACCATTATAAGATAACAGACTTAACAATGGTTTTGGACACATTCTTTCATTAGGCTTATTATTTAAGTTATTGTTTTGTTTATTGTGGTTTGTGGTAATGGGGCTTCACGGTGCTTATCGTTGTATACTGACAGCGATTTTGTTATTCATGACAACAGAGTGCGCCCCCATTAGCCAACATTTACTGGACTACAGTGCTATTAGGTGACTGACAGTAAAACTTGTCGGGGACTGCTGTATATTCCTCTTCTATCTCAATTTGTCTTCCTACATTTTTTTAAAAAATTAGCAAATAGTTTCTAATTTTCCGAGTAAGGTATAGTACTCTCATTAGGCATATAACATAATTAAACATGGTTAATATGATCATGGAGCTATAAAACTAATGTTATAGCTCCATGATCTAATATAATATAATGGAAAAGTTATCTTTTGAAATTATCATTGGTTATGTGGATAGAGTTGAAAGTGAAATTCTGTCTACATCGCTCTGGTCTTACACTGGAGTTGCCTTAGTCTTCCGGATTTTGTTGTGACATAGATGATGGCTACCATCATTTGTGATCTTTCTTATCATATTAGTTAATTCTTCAAGTTACAAACTGTTTAGGTAATTATTATTTTTCTGGTGTAATTCATAACTTTTTTATCTTATCCTTGTTAAATTCTCCTAGACTAGCATACCACAGTTATAATACCTCAGGACAATTTGAACAACAGCGATGAAAATAACAACACATCATTGCTAACATAACATTTGAGTTAACGTAACAAGTACATTCTCTGGTTTGCTTCTTGGTAAGATATCGTACAGTGTATTTGGGTTCCAGTAAACATTCTTTAACACAGTCAATCCCTTTTAAGGGGAACCCCTATAAAAGAGAGGGGGACAATTGGAGACTATTTTTTTCATTCTATCAAAATATAAAGGCTAAAAGTCATGTTTCATTCAAATATGTTTAAACTCTTCAAGCCATAAACTAAATTTTAAAGCAGTTTTATGTTTTTAGTAATATAGGTTCTAGTATCCATTTTTTTCAGTTGGCCTTAGAGCCTGTTCTGGGCCTATAAAATTTACTTAGTTTTCCAGAGTTAAACCATGTTACACATACACAGGCACATTTGCAAAAATGCCTGCTTTAATGTATAACCTGGTGAACTTTAAAACAATGAAATGCTTATTTTAGTTCTCTAGTCCTACACGACAACACGATCCATTTTGTAGCGATAACACCCAAACGTGAGTTACAGAAAAATGTATGATTTAAATGGCAGAATTTTGTAGAATATATATGATTAGTATTTAAAAGTTAACTCGTTTGTAGGTCAATTAAACAAAAATATAAAGTATTCATACCTCTGCCCTGTGCCTGAATGCAGTACCAACAAGATAATCTGAGATTACAAACCCTCGCCCTGTTGCGATATAGTCGATTCGCTCGATCCGCTGGTTGTATTGTAATAATGTATTACTATCTATATAAACGGTCAGGTTGATCAGGTGAAGTATGTATGGTGAAGTAATTTCCTCTTGTTTTTTTTGTTTTGTTTTTTGGGGGTTTTTTTTGGTTATTTTTTAAAATATTTTTTTTAATTTTTATAATTTAATTTAAAATTATTACTAACTTTTTATTATTTTTGCATCTATATAATACTCTTTTTTCCCATTTTATTATTTTTCACAATTTTTTGTACAAAATTGCGACAGCAGATTGTGAGATATACAAACGGAAAATATTTAAAATGTTCTAAAATCTACATCTTACTTCGATCAGCAACAAACTCATTCAGGAAGGAGATACATGTATTGTCAATGTGTGAAATTTTAGCTTAATCAGTGAATGTAACAATATACAGGCCGTGTTCAGTGAGCGAAACTGCAGCATAACCTCAGTGAAATAATTGAATTGCTAGTCGTATTCAGGTACATTATTTACTTTAGTGCTACAGAATACCCCAAAAAATATAATGGAATCGTATTCAGGAACATTGTTTTGATGCATGCTGCCTAAATACGTGGGACAATTCCATTATTTCATTTATGCTCAAGGGTAAAACATTGAATTTACGTGAACTTGACCATGTCCTTCGAACATACGTTCCAAATAGTGTGGCAATTCCATTATTTTATTTTATGCTCGAGGGTAAAAATTAAGTAATCATTTAGTAATTAAATGATCACCATGTCTTTTGACCTTTTCTTCCGAAAATTGAATGGTGTCGTTCTTCGATTATTATGTACAGTACTATTCCACTAAAATTTTTGTTGATCCATTAATTGGTTTTCGCGTAATCTTGCTAACAGACAGAAAGATGAGTTGATTGGCTGAGCGGTCAAGTCAGGGGCACTGTAACCTTCAGCTATATCAGCGCTTGTTCGAACGGCGCACTCTTGGATAAGGACCCGTAGGCCCAGTGTACGCATTTGGCACGTGTGCAATTTAAAGAACCTGGTATATCCTTAGCGCCCATGCCTAAAGAAATGAAATGAAATGAAAAAAAGAGAGACAGACATGACTGAATACATAACCTCCTTTGGCTGAGGTAATAATTTTTAGGTTGTATGACTGTGTGACAAAACAATTCACCTTTTGGGTACATGAATTCAGGGGGACACTATAAAGGGATTCATTTGTGGTTCCGATATGGTTAAGTCCCCTTAACAGGAGTTAAACTGTAAACTATGTAGATGGAGTTTGGGGAGGAGTCTTCGCTTTTGCATCTGCACTTCTGCTGTTGCTGGCGCTGTTAATGGTAGTTATGTCGATGTTGCTGGTGATGCTCTACTGTGATAATGACTAATACTACTACCACCACTTTTACTACTACTACTACTGCTGCTGTTTTATTGTTGATTAATGTATTACTCTTTATATAGATTGTATTTGAAGGTACGGTTGGCAAAAGCTACAGAGGTGATATAGCTATCGATGATATTCAATTTCACAATACAGGTTGTGACCAAGGTATCGTCATTCCATCTATATATAATCATGGAGGTATTATTGAGAAGGAGATCACTCGGCAACAGATCCCTTTGACGCGACAAACCTATGTGTTCCCCGCTTTTGGATCGCGCGCGGGCGTATTACCCTATAATTCACATTTTTTTGTTAGTAACAACGTGGCAACGACATGCATTTATACGATTCCAGCAGAACAGTTGTGCAATAAAACGTTTGATTTTAACCCATTAAATATCTTTATAATGAACAATGTTCCCCTGATTAGATTTTTTCGGGCTTTTGGTATGTTATTATTTGTATATTTCAGGAACGGATTCCGTAAAATATTTGTGTTAAAATTACTTCTGTGTTCATTATAATTTTGTCTAAAGATTGACTGGTTCGACTATAAAGCTAAATCAGCATAAAACTGAACAATACTCAGATTTTGGATTCATTTTTCGAATAGTTAACCCTCGTTAACCCTAAAATGACTTAGTTTATTATAATCCTTAATCATTTATTAATTAATATCTGTTAAAATTAGAATTGGCGAATTTTG